TATCACATTTGAGTTCCTTCAGAACTCTTGGGTGAATACCATCAGGTCCTGGAGACTTATTACTGTTTAGTTTATCAATTTGTTCCAAAACCTCCTCTAATGACACCTCAATTTGGGACAGTTCCTCAGATCTGTCACCCCAAAAAAATGGCTCCGGTTTGGGAATCTCCCTCACATCCTCAACAGTGAAGACCAATGCAAAGAATTCATTTAGTTTCTCTGCAATGGCCGTATCATCCTTGAGTGCTCCTTTAGCATCTCGATCATTCAGTGGCCCCACTGGTTGTTTAGCCGGCTTCCTGCTTCTGATATATTTAAAAAAAATTTTGCTATTACTTTTGAAGTCTCTGGCTAGCTGTTCTTCAAATTCTTTTTTGGTCTTTCTAATTATTACTTGCTATTACTCCTTCCCCCAAATCCTCTTTAAAGGCCAGTGGCTCTGAGTCAAACAGCTCTCCCAGGAGGTCATGGTAAAGGACAACAGCCTGGCCTCATCCTTTGTTCTCTGCTGCCACTGTGTCTCTGTTTTCTTTCAGGTTTCAGAGTAGCAGCCATGTTAGTCTATATTCGCAAAAAGGAAAAGGAGGACTTGTGGCACCTTAGAGACTAACAAATTTATTTGAGCATAAGCTCACTTCATTGGATGCTCACGAAAGGTTATGCTCAAATAAATTTGTTAGTCTCTAAGGTGCCACAAGTCCTCCTTTTCTGTTTTCCTTCACTAATTCACATTGACAGCGTTTGAGGCGTCTCTTTCTCTCCTCTCTTCTTGGGAAACTTTTATTCAACATGGGGAGTCAGATATTCCCATTTGCTGCTGTCCGAATGCCCAGCTTGCTTCCTTAATGGAAAGAAATAATTGCCACCCTTCCATTGACAGGTTACTGCATAATTGTTCAGTACAGGGTTTCCTGTAGCCTTGGAAGGATCAGATTTTTGTTGGTAAACTGGTGATTTCACTGTACACAAACCAGTGAAAAAATATTTCCATCGAAATTTACAGATAGGCAAAGAAAGAAAAATGCTGCTTGAGAACTTTTGAGAGTTTGGTTTAAGGATATTTCCTTGGTTTGTTTTGATGTAATGTTGACAATTTGTGTTTTAATGGTTTAACCTTTGAATCTCAATGTCTACTGTCATTAAATCATTATTGTCTAATATGTTCCCCCCATTGTCTAATCAGCCAATAATTCCCTGCAACTGTGAAAATTTAAATAGACAGAAATAAAAAAACACTTAAATAAACATCAATATTATCTATCAACATTATAAACAATAAAAATGGAATTCTGCCAAGTCTAGTTTTCTAGCATTTTCCTCTGAAGCAGCTGGCATTAACAACTGTTGGGGACTGGGCACCACACCAGATGGGCCATTTGTCTGATCCGGCCTGGCTGCTGTGACACCGTTCTGGTTAGCATTTCTGGTGGTTCTCTCGCTCTCCTGCTGTGACCTGTGATTTTGACTATCTTCAGTCATGTGGCACCTATGTGATGGATGCATTAGAAAGACCTAATGAGACGTGTAATCTGGCATGCTTGTCAGGTTTCTGCAGTTCCGAGTGGAGTGACAATGCTTGACTGTAACAGAAGTTTGCTCTTCTTTTATCCTTCCTGTGTTTCAGATCGGTGGGGGACAAACCATCAATACCAACCTCTTGAAAGTGGCTGTTGGAGTTATTGAGGAATCACGGCTGCTGAGGCTGCAGCCCTTTAATGAGTACCGGAAGAGGTTTTCCATGAAGCCCTACAAATCCTTCCAGGAGTTAACAGGTCAGATTTCATGACCTACATGCTGCTGCTGGCAGTGTGTGTCCGGTAAGGGGCTAGCACTGCCCTGGGGGTTCCCTCGGCCCAAGGCAGACCCCTCACGTACAGTGTGGGAGCACAGACACACAGCTCATGCAACCAGTGGCCCTACTGTAGGCTTTCAAACTGACTGATGTATAAACATCCCGCCACAGCTTACTACTACTCACCCCACTCTGAAAACTGCCAGGTACTGCCTACTTGAAAGGGTTGTTACCTACTGCAGGGCAGATGAGTGGTCGAGTGCGTGGGACATGGCCCCGAGAGTCAGTCAGACCGTTCAGTTGGTGCTCTGGATTACAGAGATAGAGCAGCTGAAAAGTCCTGTGTCTTGTACGGATTTGGAACCTCCCTTCTGAGTGACTGTTTCACTAAGACATTCTGTCTCTCTGTTGATGCAGGAGAAGAGGAGAAAGCGGCGGAGCTGGAAAAGCTATACGGAGACATTAATGCCTTGGAGTTTTATCCTGGTTTGTTGCTTGAGAAATGCCAGCCAAACTCTATTTTTGGGGAGAGTATGGTGGAGATTGGAGCCCCGTTTTCCCTGAAAGGGCTTTTCGGAAACCCCATCTGCTCTCCAGAATACTGGAAGCCCAGCACTTTTGGCGGCTCGACTGGCTTTGAGATTGTGAAGACAGCTTCGCTCCAGAAGCTCGTGTGTCTCAACGTCAGGCGGTGTCCGTATGTGGCATTCCACGTGCCAGATCCTAGCACAGAAACAGCAACTGGTGACCATCAAAATGGCAAACCATCCACTGAGCTCTAATGTTACTGTGGCTCCTCTGAGGCTGGGCCAATGAGTTTCCTCCTTCATTATTGTCCTAACGATTCCTGTTGTACCCCACGGCCTTGGGTACAAAGTCCTCCCTTGCAGAGAGAGACAGGCACAAAGGAGGACAGTATGCTCCTTGCACCATGTACCAATAGAATAGGAGGCCCCCTGGTTCTGGGCGTTATCCACACCCAGGGCTGGGAGAGGGGAAAGGAGAGGGAGGCTGGTACTAGCTCAGGGAGAGCCTGAGTCATCTAAATGCTACAGACACCATAATGGTCTATCTCCACGCAAGCTGCTTCTGCTAGCAAATTCTCTGCTCTAAGCCAGTTCTGTTTTCCAGTGGACTCTCTGCCTCTCGCTGCTGTCAGAACCTTTGCTCTCAGTATCTCCCCCGCACCTTGACTGCACAAGGCAGCTATCACACGTACTTTTCCTGCACCGGGACTGCAAGGCACCTACGCCCACCAGCTGAGTAGGGGTGGAGCAGTACACAGCCACTTGTCTACCCCAGCTGGCCGTCACACTTGCTCATCTCTCGGGCTGCTCTTATTTTCCTGCTGTGGCCAAATGGTTTGTGTGTTTATATTGTGGACCAACCACCCCAGACAGCATCCTTAGAAATCACAACAATGAGGATTTTCTCAGAGGGTCTCTGGTTTGGACAGAGAGGGAAAGAAAATCATCCATAGCCTGCTCAATGCCTCAGGGCTTTTCCCCTTGTCCTACACAGATTCAAGGTCAGTAACCCTTCCATGGCTTTAAGAATGTCTGGGAGGGGACGGGGGGTGAGAGCAGACCCCAGTGCATTACTCTGCATGATATGGCTGGAGCATACATGTACTGTACATGCCTGTCCTAGGTTATTCCTTATACAAACCAATCGGAGCTCAATCATTTCTCATACACCCAGCTCAGCCAGTTTTCAAACACTCTGGGCAAGCTAGCAAAAGTGATCACCTGAACTGCATGTACAATTCGGCACCGTCAGATAACTGGGCCTGGAAGAGCCCGCTGTCCAGCTTTGGGAACCAGGTCCCGTTAATGTGCTGAGTGGGCTCTGGCAATAAATCGAGAGTTCAACCTGATTCAGTCTTTGCCAGCGCAAGGTGGAAAGCGAAGTGCTTCTGAGAGAGCAGGAAAGCTGTTGAGTTTCATGCTTCTTCAGAGGCATGGGAGCTCCATTCTGCAGCATCACGTGGAGTTTAAAATACTGCTGGGAAGTAGATATTGCTGAGGAGTGAAGGGCTGGGGTAAAATCTGTCAGAGCTCATGGAAACTCCAAACCTAGACCAGCCAAATAACCACACCGTTGTACCACAGGGAGCAGTGCTTAGGTGTCAACTAGGCAATCTCTTAATAGGCCTTTTCTGCCTCTAATTGGATTGGGTCCAGATTCTGTCACCCTGACGCACTCTGAGAAGTACCCCACTCCACAAGCGGTTCCACTGGTCCCATAGAGGAAGGTACTACTCAGTGCATGCAAGGATGTCAAAATCTGGCCCATTGAGTCTATGGGTCTTAAACTTTCCTGGTGTAAATAGCTCAGAAAACTCTCTTCCAAGAAGATATATATGCCCTGCTTCAGGCCTTCTGAGGTTCCACACTCCAAAGCTCAATACAGACCTAGGAGCATTGTTTTCCTGCCTTATACCCCCCACCCCCGTGCCCCCCGTTTCCAACAGCCACTGGTCTGTGCCTCAGTAAATACAGACTGCTGATGAGCAGAGACATTCTAATCCCCAAATTAGCATTGCAGACATGCAGCTCTCTGAGTGATATGGAGAGTCTGAACGCTCCCCAGTGTTCACTTGTGACAGAGTGGTCAGTTGTGATCCCAATAAAAGAGAAAGTGATTTCACCTCCAGGCAGATGGAGAATAATAATGGCCAGCTGAGTTCTTCCAGAAGCGTTTCAGGCATCCACTCACCAGACTCAAGTACTAAAAAGAACATGATGTGTACAGAGGAGCTGGCAAATCACTGGCGTTCGGGTGAAGAGTCCCATTGCCAGAGATGCTCTGGCCAGGGTACAGCATGCAGCAGTGTGGGAGTGGGTACTGGTGATGCTCTGTAGCATTATAGCAGCTTAGCCAGATGAACATCTCAGAAGGTATACATGCAAATATCCTTTGCTTTAAGAGAAGCCCTGGGGTGTGTGCACAGGGAGTCTGCTCCCACTCTCTCTTCCCATCTGCCATATCTTAGCACCCTTTATTCCCCGGCACCACCTTCCAGCTCTGCTCCAGCCACCCAGCCCTTCTCTTGTGGTGTGGTCAATAGACCCCTCCCACCCTGTGCAGGACCCCCCCAGATGAAGTGCTGCTCTCCCAGTTGCATACAGCCCCCTCTCTGCCGTGCAGCCTGCTCACACCACAGCTACTGTTGTGTTCGTTGCTGATGATGAACTGACCGCATACTGACATTTCATCCATGTCACCATGGGTTTATTTTAAAGCTCCAGATGCTGACAACACAGCGCTTACATTCTTTCACAGCGTCTCTCTAGCATAACATCTACCCCGATGTTAATCTCCCCCAGCAGGGTTCTGTGTCCACATCACAGAATGAGATATCCAGTCAGTCACAATGTCACACATCTCCATGCCAGACACACAAAATGCTTCCTGTAGGGTTCATTGCACGTCTTCCGTTCCATCAGAACGGGACTTCTTCTGCTACAGGCACATGGTGCTGCAGTGTTTGCCCATGATCTTGCTGTATCCTTCCCTGGATGCTCCCAGGACACAGGGCTTTGCAATCTGCACAGTAAAACAATGGTCTTGTAACTGTCCTCAATTCATTCTCCAAGCCAAGAGTGTCCCAAGCCCTAATTGTGACTCTACCGACACACAGTGCCAAGGGATTTGATGACTTGGAGCGCCTTCTTGCTATTTTATGGCTAGACATTCTGCAGCTGGGGGGTTTGTGGCTGATGTAGCACAGAGGAGAGCGAATCAAAAAGCTAGAGACAGGAGCAGATGAGGAGGACCAAAGAACAAACATTCATATACATAGTAGAATATTCTGACCCACTTAGGAGCACCAATCATCAGGGCACGCGGCTGCTCCTGGCCTCACTCTGCCAGAGAAGAGTTATTTTGTTCTCTTCAAGACTTCACTGGGTCAGTTTTAATCCAGTCACAAAAAACTCCTGGGCCCTGTGAAAGTCAGAAGAGTGTATGAGCAGGACCCTCTGTGCATGAGAATTCACAAAAGACTCAAGAAATGGAATTCTCCTTAGCAGCAGCAGGCTTAGAAGCTGTGCAGTAAAGAGCACGATATGCAGAGTTTTTATCCAGGAGGAACCCCAAACCCTATTAACTATTTATACAAACTGTACAGGGATTGCTTCTGTCCCCCACTGAAATGCAGCCACCTCTGAGATAGAACATGCAACAGCTTAACAATACACCCCAACCCCACACAACAGTTTGGAACAGAAAGTGAAGCGGGAAGTTAGGAGTGCAGAAAATTACCTAGAACGGAATTTGTGCTTGGCTTTGCTCTGTATCTTTAATGACCAATCATACCCATGCAGTAAGGCTCAAATGCCCTCTCTGGCCTGGCAGCCAATATGGGCTCAGTGCCCATGAGACAGGCTCGACCCACCGTCTGGCCCAATGTACTGGTACATACAGAGCCAGCACCTAATTTTAGAGGGGAAAGTAATTTGTCTACCCAATGATCCACTTCAGGCCGAGACCTGATACTCTGCTGCAATTCCCAGTCAGGGTTTCCAGAGCAGAAAGTCTGACCCAGCCGGTCCCCTGCCCTTGGCCTAGCACCCTGCAGTCAGAAATACAGCCACAGCAACAGTAGCAATGGTGCTTACATACCAGGGCCTACCAGCGAAGCTGGCTGCTGGGATGCTGCCCCTGCTGCCTCTGGAGGAGATGAATCGGAGACAGTCTGAGTGGTTGCCGGGGATGATGACATCTCTGGGCTGCAAGGATACAGGTGTATTTCCACTGTAACAGACATCCTGACTGTTTCAGAGCTGGACTGAGCTCTGGGAGGGGAACACTCCACCATCCCCACCAAAGGGGCTGCAGTAACTTGGCCATGATTCCCACTGGCGTTCCTCCCAAGCGGTACGATGCTCCGGAGCAGTGGCTCAGGCCCGTGGAAATACAGCGTGGTGCCAATGTGCTGGAGAGACGGAGAGGTTACAGAGCACATGCCAGGGGCCCTTGCACCAGGCTCCCCGGGCCTGGCACTCTTCAACTCCGCAGACACAGAAGAGGGTGGAGCTTTGTGAGGGCTTGGGTGTTTCTCCTGATGAGCAGACTCATGCTGCAGGGACACTGGGGAGTCCTGGTATGACGCAACATGCACGTCGCAAGGAGCAGAGAACACAACTGGAGCCGTGCTCCTGCCCAGCAATTCCTAAGTAATGTGAGAACAGCTCTGTGAGTGACACAGGATGCAGCCCCGAACCCAGATAGCACAGTGAGGGGCAGGAGACATTAGACAGCTTGAAATACAGATGAGAGAGACTGGATGGAATCAAAACAATCCACCCAGTAAATACGGCAGATTAAAGATACTGCACCGGACCCTCGCCACTGTAGAGCAGCCTAGCTTCATGGACGTCAAAGTAGCTACACTGATCTACCCCTGCGGAGGGGCTGACCCACAGATTAGTCACAAGGATTGAATACAACGTCACCTGACTGGAACTGGAGTCACTGACAGGAATGGGACGCTCTATTGTGTTGAGGCTGGGAGAGAGGCTAGTTCACAGGGACACACGACACTGGCAGGCGGTGATGTGAGACACAGGGTGGGGGACAGAGGCAGGGATCGCAGAGCAGTGCTGCGGTACGGGGGTGAGGTGGGTTCAGAGAGTTTTAATGAGGGGGGAACAGCTACCAGAACAGAACCAGGTGCACCTTACCGCTGCCCAGGCCTGTGCTGTCTGCAGAACCTTGCCAGCAGCAACACCCGGAGGTTCCTCTCGGTGCCCAGCCGCCTCTGCAGGGAGCGTGGGGTTGGAATGCAGCAGGTGGGGGGACGTGCTGCTGTCGTACGGATTCTGCTCAATAGCGTCGACAGTGCATTCAACTTCGAATGCCCTGTGGATTGGAGAGGTGTCAGGGATGGGGAACAGCGGGCTGGTATTTTAAGTGAAAGCCACATCTTGGTCATTTCATCAGCGACTCACCATGTTCACAGCCTTTCAATCCAGGTAGCAGAGCTCCTCTATCTGCCAGTCATAACCCACCTCCCCCGGCCCCCACTGAAATACGTTGCAGATTCAATTGCAGGGTAAAACTAAAGTCTCTCGTACACATTCCTGAGTGAGCCCATCCCTAGGTGACCCCTGAAGCAGCTGGTACGGACTGTTCCTTAGTGCCCGAGCACCTCTGAGTTCCAGAGTTTTGCTGCTGGGACATAGGATTTGAAACCACAACCAGCCTCACCACTTCACAATCCCATTGTGTATACAGTGGGACAAACTCACCTGTTCTCGTATGCCTCATCCACGTCCAAGTAATTTCTCCTTCTCCGAGAATTAGAGGATTTTTGAGAAGCTGCGGGAAAAAACAGATGTGTTTATTCAGCCACATGGCAGAGTGCACAGGCAGAGTCAGCTATCATGCAGGGCAGGCATGCCAGAGCAGCTGGCCATCTGGTAGGGACAGCGCATCAGTCCTGACAGTCCAGCAACTAAGTACTCCTGGGTCAATGTCCAGAGACTGCAACGAACACACCAAAACACCCATGCAGCAGCACCTCTGAGCGCTAGCAAGATGCGGTGTCTGAATGGCAGACATTGGCAGAGTTCATCTCATCGACGGGACAGTCCCTCATGAGACCCAGACTCTCCACATTCCTGCACGTGTCTGCTGTAAATCACAGACACGGGAAACACTGAATCAGGGGCCTGGCGTCAGGGAGGGTGTGAGTAGCTTTAAAGTCACTCCCTGCACCTTCCCCTTCCAGCACGGCTTTTAGTCTTGTGTCCCTCCTCCTGTGGCTTTGCCCCCTTGGTAGACAGAGAGCAGGGGCAGGCTGCATACCAGCTGTGCACACACACATCTTTCATCAACAACATTCATGTTCAGGTTTGGAGCAGAGATGGGCCTGAAATCTGGATCCAAATGTACTCAAGGATCAGGGTTTGGTTCTGGCCCGTTGAAGAGATGAGCCAGCTGTGATGTACAGATCCAGATCTGAACCTCCACAGCAGCTGGGGCTGCTCAGAACTGGGGTTCTGCTATGGGCCCATCTCTACTTTAGATAAATCCAGGGACCAGCAACCCTCCTCTACCACAAACCCTAAACCTTCACCTCCGTCTAACCCCAAACCTACGCACAACTTGGAGTGAAGTGCAGAGAAATGGAGTGAGCTCTCACCTCTCTAGTCACTTCTGCCCCTGAGCCTGCTGTTTCCAGGTGGCCAAGGAAACAAATCCCGAAGTGTCACCCCCATATTGCCAGCCTCAGTGAGAGCGGGACAGCATGGATACCTGCCAAATACAAACCCAGAGCTTTCAACAGTGCTCCAAACTCCTTCTGAGGAGTGCAAGGGTCGTTATGCCCCTGGAGAACATGCTGCCTTTCGGAAGCCAGGGCTGAAATACTCACAAGTACTGTTGCCTTTGGCGTGCTCTATTTTCTGGCGGAATGAATACACCCCCATGGAAATGAATATCAAAGCCAGAGACACGGAGACCCCCACAACCACTGGGATGTCATGCTTCTCCAGGACGGGGAGCCAGTTGGAAGCAGGTGGAGATTTCTGCCTGCAAAGGTAGTGCAGTCAGGCCCAGATCCACAAAGGTACTTGGGAGCCTAACTTACATTGTGGGTCTGGGCCTCAGATCAGAACAATGACATGCACCAGCAGGCTAATGTAATGAACGGAAGCAACTGGCCTCTGTGCGTTACCTTGCTGTCGTGACGGGAGGCCAGGTGGCATTGTCCTGTTTCCTTTGGGCGGACAATCGTACCATCCCTGTAGCGTTTCCAGCAGGCCGAGAATACACTTTGCTCCTGTGGCGAGCGGGGATTTCCTTGCTCCACATCCCTGAGGGATGCTCGATATCTCCAGGTGGCCGCTGGGCAGCGCTCCCTGCTGGGGCTGCAGTGCCACGTCCTTCACCTTCCTGTTCCAAGGGCAACGCCAGGGCAGAAACCTCTCCTGCAGGCAGGGCCCTCCCCGAGGTGGAGGAACTAAAGGCTGGAGACAAAGAGAGAAGTGCTGCCCTAACGCTAGGGGCCCTGCAAGATGGTCAGGGAAACACCAGCCAGAAATCTTTACTCATGGGGACCGAGGCAAGAGTTGGGGCCTGTTCTGGAGCAGCCCCTGGGGGGTGACGTCTCCAGGCAGGTGGATGATGGCCAGCGAGCCATCAGGGGTAATGATGTCAGCATGTCTGGGTGGTGATAACATGCACAGAGGAATGAGAGCCGTCAGCCAGCCAGGGCTGAGGGAATCCCTGGGAAGTAACATGGGCACCGGAAAGGCATGATACTCCTGACAGAGCGTTTATGTGGGCAAGAGGCAAGCAAGGCCCAGCCATGCTCAGGCCACTGCCAGCAGGAGGCTCACATGCCATGAAGCCCTAGAGAAAGCCAAGGGATGATGCCTGCAGCAGATGGAGCAGCAGAGCCAGTGGGAGTCCAGCTCAGGGGGGCAAGGTAGACAGCACGCGTGGCCTGGAGGGTGTCATGCAGGAGAACACTCGTGGCACCTCCCTTGACACACGCATCACACCTGACACTCACAGGTTCCTGAATCCGGGCTGGGCCCAGGACGTGAGGGGAAGCTGGTTCCCCTTGTGTGAGCTGCCTCACTTGCTTTTACCAGGGGGACCTTGGCAGAGAGCCCCTCTCCTCTGGCATCAGCCTGTCTGAGCTGCAAAACACAAAGTGCATTGGATACGCTGTCAGTCTGGCTGAGAGGCAGGCCCAGGAGTGGATCCGTGGCTGGGGGTGCCGCCTGGGGCTCTGCACCTGGAGCAGGCCCTGTGTTAGCCTCATCATGGCCCCATCTCCTTGCGTGGCCCTGCCAATCACCATGCTCCAGTCTCTGGGGCAGAGCATGACCTGGTATAATGCAAGCGTGAGCCAAGTTTCCTCCTGTTGCCAGGTGGCCTCCCACAGAGCGAGGCTCTGTTATCCCCAGGCCATGGGCAGCCAGGTGAGGAAATGGTTGTCCGTTGCTGCTCCCATCCTGATACTGAGAGCACAACACCCCCACTTGACACCTCATGGGAGGTTCAGCTTTATCCCACAAAGGGGAACTGGAAACAGGAGTGAAATCCTGACCCCACTGAAGCCAGTAGCCAAATTCCCGCTGAGGTCAGGACCTCAACCACAAAGTTTACATGCCAGATTTACCTGCAGGAGGCTGGTGACAGAGGCTGGGGTATTTCCAACTCCCTCATCCCAGGTGTTCACTTCTCCATCTATAAAAGATCAGGTGTGTGTCACTGCTGTAGTGCTGGAGACCCCATCACCCCCGATCTCCTGTGTACAGCCAAACCCTTTGCATCCTTCACAGACAGCCTCCAGGAGCTGCCTGATGTCTCCATCCTCTCAAGCAAAAGGAAGCGCAAGAAACAGTCAGGATGATCTTGAACCCATTAGCCAGAAAACCCATCTGTCTCCTTCAGGAAAGTGGGGGCCCCAGACAGACAGGCCCTGGTTAGCAATGGCTGTTAGCAGACTCACATGTGACCCCAACAGACCATGGGAAGCTGTGCTCTCTCTCCCACCATTCACGGTCAGCGTTGCCATCCTGCTGTCCCTCCCTGCCGCGTTCTCAGCAACACAGAGAAAGAAAGGGAGCCCCCTCAGCCCAGGAACGTTGCTGAGAGCTAAGGTCAGCAATGCCTCTCAACCTATTGCAGCAGGAATCTGAAGAGATGCATCATAAGCAGCACAAGAAAGAGTCAGTGGCTGGTTCAGCTGAGCTACAATATCCCCTGGGCAGGAGGTAAACACTGCAAGGGACAGAAGGGACAGTCCAGCGTCAGCTCTAACCCTTCCACAGACAGAGATGCAGCAGAACCGCACACCGTGCAAAAGGACGGATCTGAAACAACCCAGGCCATTCAGAGCAGCAGCTCGTGTTTGGGGCTAGTGGGATGGATCAGAACAGGCCAAGTGCCACTAGCCACCATGGCTACAATAGGACTAGCCTCCAGAATCTAGCTGCATCAAAGGGCCTCCTTGCTGCCAATGCCTGCTGCCCTTGGGCATCCAGAACTCTGTGTCCCAGCTGACGGAGCTCATAGAGCCCTGGGGCTTTGGATGCTTTAGGACGCCAAAGAGATTCCTGAGTATGTGTCTGTCTCCCTGGACCCATCAGAACATCTCCAGGGACTTTATTATGGCTGTGGCACTGTTAAAAGCTGCAGCCCGGCTGAGTGACTGAGATGCCCAGCATTGCGAGGGCCAAAGCCTGCTCCAAGGGATAGGGGCTTCCACATCACACTTACCCGGTTCCGCCCTGCACTGGCTGCTCCTCACGCAGCAGTTCTGTATCACGCTAGAAACAAGCATATAGAGTGCCACAGTCCCCATGGCTCCAGCTCGGTGCTCCCTGCTCGAGGCTCTGATGAGTGCCTAAGAGACACAGAAATACTGGATGTGAGCACAGCAGCATGACAAGCTCCCACCCCAATCCCAGCCCAGTCCTCTTCTTCTCTAACACCTAATTCCAGCCTTAGCCCACTTGCCCTTTGCAGAAGTTGATGTCTTGTGGTGTGCCCAGACGCCATGCTGATAGGCACCCTTCCAGTGCTTGTCATGGGTTAACAATAGTTCTTAGGCAAATAAGCACATTACAGATACTTGACCAGGTTTATTCTTTGTCCCTGCCAGAAAACACTTCTCATTCATGGAGGCAACCTAGTGTAATGACCTGCACCGAAATCTAGGTCCCCAAGATCTAGTCCCAGCTGTGTCACTGACTCGCTGTGTGGCCTTGGGCAGGTCACATAATCTCACTCCCTCTGTTTGTCCAGCTGCATAACTGGAGTAGTATTTCCTGCAATGCTTTATTGGTATAGCATTCGCACCTAGAGACCCCTGCCCCGCTGCACCAAGCACTGCACAAACTTGTAACAAAAAGATGGCCCTGCCACAATGACCTTACAATCTAAGACAAGACCAGAGTCCTCACGCCTCACGGGGGCTGCGCAGATTCATTAGTGGAGTCTGTAGAGTCCTCTGAACACGGGAAGGGCCAAGCACTCTTATTAGCTGCAGTCCATGACTTCTCGTTTTCCTTGTGGGTTGGCCTTTCCCTCGGCTCGGCACTAGATGGCGCCTGTATCCCACGAGCTGGGGACCTGAAGCTAGTGTCACTTTCATCAGGAATCCACCTTCATTTAGTAATGTGGGTTGTGACAAAATGGCTGATGTTGGTATGGCGGGTCCTACGCTTTTCTTGGCCGGGGGCGGGGGAGGAAGCGCTAGGATGTCACCCCTTGCCCCTGCTCGTGGGGCACCGAGAGCCCCGCTAGTGGCCCAGGAAGGTGGTAGAGGAAGGGGGAGGGATCTGGGTTTGCTCCTCACTCTGAGCCCCAGCCCCTCTCAACCCCTGGGGGTTTCTTACCCTCTTCCCCCTTGGGTAGGGATCCCCTTGGTCCTTGATGCCTCCCTTCCTCCGGTTCTCTGGTCTTTCAATTCTCAGCAACACACTTCCAAACTCCAGGCCTCTCTCCTTCCTTGCTCCACCCTGTCTGCCTGAAGGAGGGGTTTTTATTAGGTTCCTGACAGGGCCTTAATTGGCTACAGGTGCTCCAATTAACCTGTAGCAACCTTCCCTAGTCTACAGGGAGCCACGCCAAGGGATTATACATCTCCGCTAGACCACTCTCCCACTACTCCCTGGCCCTGCTGTATCACAGGGTTTACAAAGGGAGTTGTCTTCAGAGTCTACAGAACCACAGAAATCCTCCCATGGATACACAACTCCATAGACACAGTCTCTCTCATAGCCCCCCAGAGCACAGTCCTTGCTGCACAGGAGACTGGAGTTAGCGCCTTTGCAAAAGGTTGACATTTGCTATTTATTCCCAGGTGGAAGTTACAAACATTTAGCTACATTTTGGCATGACAGAAAGTGTTCTGTGTGTGTGACCCCATAACGCTCCCTTCCAGACACCCCCAGAACCTCGAACAAGTAACCGAGACAAGAACGCACAAGTCTCACAACGCATGCAGTGCCGTGCTCCCCAGCTGGATACACGGCACTCCGCTCCCTGAGCTAGCCTTTCAGTCCATGCCAAACGTGATCCATGGAACATGCTGACCCCAGCACCAGCCTGGGTGGATGCAGTTCCCCCTGCACCAGCCCAGGGCACTTGGGATCTAGGTGGGTGAGGTGCAGAGAGGCTGAGCCAACCAAGGGCCACCTCCCAGCCCAGGGGTGAGGCTAGAACAGTTGTCACAGACACTCCATGCTGGGGCGCATGGGCCACTGGATCCACAGAGTCATGGTCCTTCCCCTGGATAGCCTCCAGAACTGACCTTCCACACAGGGCCCCACAGAGGCCAGCATGGAGACAACTGCTCAGCGCACAGGCATGCACAGACCCTCTGCTCAGCTGTCTGACCCCAGCTCATCTCCAGCAATGACGGGGAGGGCCCAACAATGGTGAAACTGGAAATAACTAACCAGCTTTAGCCTTGAGAGAGCCTCTAGTATCTATCCATCTATGAGCCCTCCTCACCATGGTATCTGAGCGCCTCCCACGACCAGGCCCTTTCACCCAGGTGGAGCTAATGTTGCCAACTGTTTGCACAGACCATTTAAATTGGAATCAATTTACCCATCATAATAATGCAGCCACCTCTGGGGTAGAATATGGCAGCAGTAGTGACACTGCATATTACCTCCACTACAGTGTGCACTGAGATGTCACCCATACACCCAGAGCCTCTGGAACTAGGGATACCTGCTTTAGATTACTGCGGTGCTTTAGAGATTACCCTTATCAGACGTACCCGCACTTCACTGAACTCCTGGTTCATGAAACACAGCCATTTACAGCAAGTGTAAGCAGGGGAATAGTCCCGCTATTGTGGGGAACTTTCCTGGCTTCTGCACTACCCCGGTGAAGTGGGCTAACGAAAGGATCTGAGTCCTCGCTCCCACTTCCTTTACCCGGTGGCCTCCCTGCCCTTGAGGACTCCCCTTCCACTCTCCTGTCTGGCAGAGTCCTCGCAACCCCAACAAGGCTGGGCCCAGGATTTCTGGGGGGCTTGACTCCCAACCCTGCTGTGGTCACCTAGGACAGGGGCTAGGGTATCCCCACTCCAGGTTACTCTCTCTGCACTGGGCACTTCTCTGACCCACTGAGCGTTACATACAAGTTAAAGCAAATGCAAGTTATTTAATCAACAATTAATTTTAAAAAGAATAAGGAAAAATGGGAAAGGTTAAAGGAAACACATCACCCCGCTCTGTGGCAGGGAACATCACAAATTGTGTCTCTGGAATACCAGGGCAGTTCACAGTCTGTTCCTTGTAAGTCCCAGGCCTTCTTCTCAGGCCCTGGCTTTGCTGCAGGGATGGTGTGGGTTGGACTCACACGCCCATCTACTGTGGCAGAATGGTCTTTAAAGAAGATGAATACGGAAGAGCACAAAGAGGCAGCATTAGCTTATCGCTGAATGACCTCCTGAGCGAAGACTCACTGCACACAGGGCTAATGGAGGAGGATTATTTAGTGGATGATCAATTACTCCCCATTTCCTAGGAAGAGAGTAGGAGTTTACAAGAACAAGATCAGTTGACTGAGGCTTATTGCCATGCAAATGACCATCAGGTTAAGCTGAAGGGGCATTCATCTGCTAATAAAGTTGGACTTCACCTGTTTCTAACATTGTTCTCATGGGATAAACTGCAGAAAATCCATGCTTTGCAGTTCTCTTTCGCCAACCGCAGGAGCACCAAAACGTTGTCTCACCGATGGTGACTTATGGTGACTTATGAATTCAGGTGCTGCACTCAGCTGCTTTTTATGCTCTGTCTCTAATATGGAAGGGCAGCCCACAGGAGTAGAAGCAGCCCATGCCCCATCACATGCTGGGGGCAGTAAGGCCATTCCTGTGTTACTGACAACACGACTGAAGATCAGGAAAACAAAATGGGGTTTGCAAATCTAATTTTCTTTTTGACTTTTGTGAAGTTTAAGTTTTGCACTTCAGTCAACTTAGGGCAGTGAAACTAGTCTGGTGAGTTTGACTCTAGTTCTAGGGAGTTTTTGGGGGAAGGGATAGCTCAGTGGTTTGAGCATTGGCCTGCTAAACCCAGGGTTGTGAGTTCAATCCTTGAGGGGGGCATTTAGGGATCTGGGGCAAAAATTGGGGATTGGTCCTGCTTTGAGCAGGGGGTTGGACTAGATGATCTCCTGAGGTCCCTTCCAACCCTGATATTCTATGATTCTATGATTCATGTGCCTGTTCCCAGGCTCCAGCTCAGGGCCTTTTGCTTGGATTTCCAACAAACCAGCAGAAGGTTAACAAAAATCTGAATTCAGTGTTTTAAAAAGAAAAGCCAAACCAATAAATAACAACCCATTTTTATCCATATAAGGTTTTTATAAACAGCTCTCCCTATTTCCACCTCCTCCCCCAGGAAAACTTACACAGAAGGCCTAACAATACTTTAATCCTTTCTTTTTCAGTCTTGTTCCTAGTGCCTGGAGCAGGGCTTGGTGACACTTACAGATGTCTGAATTAGACTTCTTAGGAACATTCAGCGATCTCACTGTCTTCCTTTCACTGAGCAGACATTTTGGGTTTTGTTGTGTGTTTGGATTCTATAGGCCACTCTGCAAGACTACAGTAAACCCAGAGTACAGTAACTCTACTAACATCAACCAAGTTATTCCAGATTTACCCTGGTGTAACTGAGTTCAGAACTAGGCCTTCAGAAAAAGTTATACATTCTGGCTGCTCTCACCTGGTTTATTTTGCTTTCTCAAAGAAAGCGTTTACAATGGGTAAACCTGCCGATTGCATCTCTCAAAGCCCTGTTAATCTCCTTTTTCCGAAGATGAAAGATCAGGTGCAAGTAGAGGGCTTGGGTTTAATGCCAGCGCCTTCATGAGCTGAAATATGCATGAAGCAAAACAGACAGAGCTGGGGCCAACACAAGCCACAAACTAGAATGAGTGGATAGCTTTATCACCTGGAAAAAAGGAGAGATATCTGACCATTCAGAATGGCATAAGGATTTCCTAATAATACACACATGCGGAAGTGGGGCAGTCGTGGGGAAGGGGCCATCAAGTTATATCTCTGTCATGTTACTCCTCTGAATGCCTCTTTCAAATGAAACATCAGGAAATCGTCCCTCTAGGACCATTCATTTGTTTGGTGTCTCTTTGAAAAAGAAAAGCTAACACTCTAAAAGGGAAGCGAAACTGGAAGAGGAAGACGGAGATAGACATAGACTACACATGTACTGGGATGAGTGCGAGATGAAAACACAACAGATGAATGAGGTGAAAAATATGTCATATTTTTAAAAGATTAAAGCAATGGGAATGTGAAACAAGCCAGATTGCTCCACAAGAGACCACCTAGGGGCAGGTAGCCCACACAAACCATTCTGGACCCGCTGTTCCTTAACTAACCTTTTCTTAAGCACCACTGAGGGATTTGCCATAAATTCTTCTCAGCAACTGGCCAAGATTGGGTTCAGTATCTGACACCTCTTATCAGCTGGCTCTGATTCACAGGGATGAGCTCTATAATCAAAAAGATCTGTTCCACCGCATCTGGCCACCTGCTGTCTGAAAATTCTTCTCATCTCCAGCAACATGACAAAAACCGCAGAATTCAAAAGCACAACATATGTCTGCATCAAATACATTTAAATTTGAACCTCCCCTGGCATTTCTCACAAATCCACAGGTAGATACAGGACTGACCTGAGCAGAGGTCTTCCTGTACTACATGGACCTACTAGAGAAGCCAGATACATATGGTCTGTAGCTGAATGTTTATTCTGCCATTTGGTTCGGGGATAGAGCAGCAGCAAGCACAACACAGGGAAGGGGAGCTGTGATCACAGGGACTCAGAGAAGCAATGAAATTCTTAACATTTTCACATTCCTACAGCTGTTTCCTACTGGTAGCTAGCATCTCACTAGGGAAGAAGCACATGCCATACACCATCCTTATGACCACACACTCTTCTGCATCTCCTTACTCTTGCATTTCAGATAAACAAAGCAGCATAGACACTTGTCAAGGTTCCTCCCCCACTCTGAACTCTAGGGTACAGATGTGGGAACCTGCATGAAAAACCTCCTAAGCTTATCTTTACCAGCTTAGGTCAAAACTTCCCCAAGGTACAAAATATTCCACCCGTTGTCCTTGGATTGGCCGCTACCACCACCAAACTAATACTGGTTACTGGGGAAGAGCTGTTTGGACGCGTCTTTCCCCCCAAAATACTTCCCAAAACCTTGCACCCCACTTCCTGGACAAGGTTTGGTAAAAAGCCTCACCAATTTGCCTAGGTGACTACAGACCCAGACCCTTGGATCTTAAGAACAATGAACAATCCTCCCAACACTTGCACACCCCCTTTCCTGGGAAATGTTGGATAAAAAGCCTCACCAATTTGCATAGGTGACCACAGACCCAAACCCTTGGATCTGAGAACAATGAAAAAAGCATTCAGTTTTCTTACAAGAAGACTTTTAATAAAAATAGAAGTAAATAGAAATAAAGAAATCCCCCCTGTAAAATCAGGATGGTAGATAGCTTACAGGGTAATTAGATTCAAAAACATAGAGAACCCCTCTAGGAAAAACCTTAAGTTACAAAAAAGATACACAGACAGAAATAGTTATTCTATTCAGCACAATTCTTTTCTCAGCCATTTAAAGAAATCATAATCTAACACATACCTAGCTAGATTACTTACTAAAAGTTCTAAGACTCCATTCCTGGTCTATCCCCGGCAGAAAACCAGCATATAGACAGACACACAGACCCTTTGTTTCTCTCCCTCCTCCCAGCTTTTGAAAGTATCTTGTCTCCTCATTGGTCATTTTGGTCAGGTGCCAGCGAGGTTACCTTTAGCTTCTTAACCCTTTACAGGTGAGAGGAGCTTTCCCCTGGCCAGGAGGGATTTCAAAGGGGTTTACCCTTCCCTTTATATTTATGACAACACTTCAAAACATTTAAAACTATTACATGCCAACTGCCATCACCTCTATTTTGCAAGGACCGTCCCCACCTTTTCCAGCTCTCTATTGCAAAAGCTCTTGCACTCGCATTGTCTCTCAGTGGAGTTAAAGTCTGTCTTTGTTTGTAGCTTTCAGATGTTGGCAAGTTTGCCGAGGTGAAAAATTCTGTTCTCATTCAAAGTAAGGTACTCCACTTCTAACATGATAGACCAATCTTTTGCAAAGCAATTAACTAAGAGTCTAATCCCTTTCTTAGAATGATCAAACCGCCCCCAACTCAGAATAATACACACACTTACACCACACTTTACAGACATTAACAAAACCACTGACTTTCGACAAAGAGTTTACAGCACAGGAGATAAACTTTGGTTGGATCCCTTTTGAGAAGCAACAGAATCCCTGGTCCTTCTGCTGCCTTGGTAGGGAAGCAAAGGCAGTTGTGAAAGGCTCAGGGATGCAAAGCTGCGGGCTGATACCTGTCCCATTTCACAGCCCATGCTGCCTGTGTGTGCTCCCTCTTGCTGTTCGCAGACTGGGATCCATGTTGCTGAGCTGCTGGATTGATCTGCAGGAGGAAGATGGGTGGGCTATGGGCTGCTGGATAGTTGCATCATCAATCTGAGTCTACACTGTTAACCCAGCAAACAGAAAACCCTTCAGGAGATGCACAGTGAGCTGTTGCTTAACCACCAGGGAGATTGGGCTGGAAGATTAACTCTTTCCTTACTCCAGTGGATGTACGCTTTCAGTGGCACAAAGCCCTTGTGCTAGGGATAAGGTGCACGAGGGAAACCCACCTGCATTTAACAATTGCAACTATTAATTTGTACCTCTTTAGCATCTGCTATCTCAGAGCCGCTCACAAACACTGAATCTCACAACAGTTCGATGAGGTTTCTATAAAGACGCATTACTACGTGCAAGGCAGATAACTGTGCACATAAGTACAGCTGATCAGAACATTTTCAACAAAAGTTTTTAATAAAAAAATGCTGTTTTATCAAAACCAAACATTTTGCGGAAATGTGCCAATTTCAGCTGACTGTAAGGTCCCTGAGTGCCAGGGTGAACTCTCTAGAAAGAAAGACCCAAATTGAAAACCTGAGGGTTTAGATCTGAAAACAGACATTTCATCACAATTCCATTTTCATTCCAGTGTGGAATGAAAAACTTTGAAACCTGAAAAGTTGTGAAATGGAATGGTCATTTGCAAGCCAGCTTTATGCATGAGTGCTTTTTGCACATGCAATGCTGATTCTGTTCTTGTGTATGTTTGCATACACTGATTTTGCATCTGCAGTTTCTGGCCATGTCTACCTAAGAAAGAGATGTGCTGTAACAGGTTAGTTAACACATGAACACAGGGTAAAATATTAAGGTAGACAAAGCAACGTTTGGTTCTAACATGCGTTAGCTGGTCGAGGTGACCCCTCCTACTAACACGTTAAAACACAAATTGCCCAATACTAATATTTTAACAAGTTAGTTAACATGTTCATTTCCTAGGTGGCCAATCTGGAAAATCCAGTTCAATACAGCACAAATTCTGCTACTACAGAATCTCTCTTAAAACTTCTCTAATGGGGTCAGCAGTAGGCCAGACCCTTCATTCCTCTGTTCGCACGGGGCTGGCTTTCAGACAGCAGAGACACTGTGGCATAACATTCATCCTCTCTCACCCCATCGCCACCCTACTATGTATTACCTTCTTCATATTACGATACATTGGACCATAAACTCTTCAAGGCTGGGACCTTGTCTTGCTATTGGCACCATAAAGCACCTAGCACACACTTGAGGACTGTAAATTAATAACTGAGAGGTCATCCGGGGCAGCAGGAGATTGTTTTGATCCTATTACAATTTCACTGCGATAGGGAAAATAGAGCACTTTCTGAATGTGCAAAATTTCAAAGATATTCAAATAGTGCCAATCCCCTCTCCGAAGCCGGGTTTTATTATGATGCTAATGTGCATGCTGTCTGCATTGCAGACTTCATAGTATATCAACCTGAACATAAATTATAACCACTTTGATTTTTTTTCCTTAAAAATGCTGTTACTAATGCTCAATGGCTTCATGTCACATAATGTTCATGTTCTCTGCTTGCATTTCTGAGATAGAGAAAATCTTAGCTTGGAGCTCTTAAATGCCTCTTTTGTGCTTATAAATTTTCCTTAAGTTAGCTGCAATTCAAGCATGTTCATATTTTAATTGCATTTCTTTTTCTGTTTATAACTCTCTTTTAAACATAACTAAATTAGAAATATTAAATCCCCTTATGTCCACAAGCGTATTACTACTATAACAGAAATATAGAAAGGCACTGCTGAGGGCTGAGTGTCGCCGCACAGACACATGGTACAAATCAAGCCACCTTAAAATATACTACACTAGGTCAAGTGTTTATAATTCAAATTACAGAGTATCATTACAAATTAATCCACTTTTTCCACAAAACGGTAACCAAAGATCAAAAACAAGTCAGGGAGTGAATGAATGAGGAAATGGCAGAGTGTTGTAATAAAAAGATTCATTACATAAGGGGTATATTTAACTCAATAATTAGAACATTTAGTATATAAAGAAAGTACACACTCCTATATAACCCATTGGGGTTGGCTATATTACTTGTGATTACTGCAGTCATGCTGAAATCATGCCAATAAAACCTTTGCATCACTCTGCATCTTGTATTTTTTTAATGAATTGGTTTACACGACATTTTACAGACTGTTTTAGAAATATTTTAGAGACTTTTAAATGCATTGGTACTATTCTTTGTATCCCTATGCTAGTCAATGCAGGCTGCCTTACTTCCATGAATCCAGCCACAAAGGCTGTAGGAGCGAGAGAGAGAGAGGGAATAGCTTTCTGTAAATCATAATGCTGCGATCTAATTTATAAAGCGCGCTCAGCACAGCACAGACAAAACACGAAAAGGTCATCAGCAAAAATTAAACCATCATAACACACAGTTGAAAAGAAACTCAAGAGTCAAAAGCTGCTGCAGGAGGAAACCAGTTCCCATAACATAAAGCAGCAGCATTCAGTAACAATAATGATCACTAATGAACAAATGGTGCCAGCCAGTTCTGGAGGTTTCTCTCCTGTAGCATGAAGTGGGACCTGATCTGTGTTTTTTAGGGACGATGGGAACGTTCAGGCCCATGTTGCTGGGCAACCGAGGCAGCCACAGGGATGTTTTTTAAAAGGCTTTTGTCATTTTTAACAAAAGATGGAAAAAATGATTGTGAAGCCTGTGTGGAGGGTTCCCCCCCCCCGCCATATATATATTTTTTTGCTGCTTGAGTGCATTCTAATGATGCTGAGTACAAAGATGTGCTCCCAACAGCTGCTACAAGAGTAAAACCAAAATGACTGACATGTTGTCATCATGAATAGGTCGGAATATGAACAAGAGGCTGCTCGGCAGCTCTCCAACACGAGTTTCTACAAGCCATTACCCTATGATCCCACTGAGAGTTACCAAAAGCAACTACAGCATTTGCTCAAGAAACTTCCTGAAAAAGCACAAGATCAAATCCGCACAGACACACCCCTGGAACCCCGACCTGGGATATTCTATCTACTACCCAAGATCCATAAACCTGGAAATCCTGGGCGCCCCATCATCTCAGGCATTGGCACCCTGACAGCAGGATTGTCTGGCTATGTAGACTCCCTCCTCAGGCCCTACGCTACCAGCACTCCCAGCTACCTTCGAGACACCACTGACTTCCTGAGGAAACTTCAATCCATCGGTGATCTTCCTGATAACACCATCCTGGCTACTATGGATGTAGAAGCCCTCTACACCAACATTCCACACAAAGATGGACTACAAGCCGTCAAGAACACTATCCCCGATAATGTCACGGCTAACCTGGTGGCTGAACTTTGTGACTTTGTCCTTACCCATAACTATTTCACATTTGGGGACAATGTATACCTTCAGATCAGCGGCACTGCTATGGGTACCCGCATGGCCCCACAGTATGCCAACATTTTTATGGCTGATTTAGAACAACGCTTCCTCAGCTCTCGTCCCCTAAAGCCCCTACTCTACTTGCGCTATATTGATGACATCTTCATCATCTGGACCCATGGAAAAGAAGCCCTTGAGGAATTCCACCATGATTTCAACAATTTCCATCCCACCACCAACCTCAGCCTGGTCCAGTCCACACAAGAGATCCACTTCCTGGACACTACAGTGCTAATAAACAATGGCCACATAAACACCACCCTATACCGGAAACCTACTGACCGCTATTCCTACCTGCATGCCTCCAGCTTTCACCCTGACCACACCACACGATCCATCGTCTACAGCCAAGCTCTGCGATACAACCGCATTTGCTCCAACCCCTCAGACAGAGACAAACACCTACAAGATCTCTGTCAAGCTTTCTTACAACTACAATACCCACCTGCAGAAGTAAAGAAACAGATTGATAGAGCCAGAAGAGTTCCCAGAAGTTACCTACTACAGGACAGGCCTAACAAAGAAAATAACAGAACGCCACTAGCGGTCACCTTCAGCCCCCAACTAAAACCCCTCCAACGCATTATTAAGGATCTACAACCTATCCTAAAGGATGACCCAACACTCTCACAAGTCTTGGGAGACAGGCCAGTCCTTGCCTACAGACAGCCCCGCAACCTGAAGCAAATACTCACCAACAACCACATACCACACAACAGAACCACTAACCCAGGAACTTATCCTTGCAACAAAGCCCGTTGCCAATTGTGCCCACATATCTATTCAGGGGACACCATCACAGGGCCTAATAACATCAGTCACACTATCAGAGGCTCGTTCACCTGCACATCCACCAATGTGATATATGCCATCATGTGCCAGCAATGCCCCTCTGCCATGTACATTGGTCAAACTGGACAGTCTCTACGTAAAAGAATAAATGGACACAAATCAGATGTCAAGAATTATAACATTCATAAACCAGTCGGAGAACACTTCAATCTCTCTGGTCACGCAATCACAGACATGAAGGTCGCTATCTTAAAACAAAAAAACTTCAAATCCAGACTCCAGCGAGAAACTGCTGAATTGGAATTCATTTGCAAATTGGATACTATTAATTTAGGCTTAAATAGAGACTGGGAGTGGCTAAGTCATTATGCAAGGTAGCCTGTTTCCTCTTGTTTTTTCCTACCCCCCCTCCCCCCAGATGTTCTGGTTTAACTTGGATTTAAACCTGGAGAGTGGTCAGTTTAGATGAGCTATTACCAGCAGGAGAGTGAGTTTGTGTGTGTATGGGGGTGGGGGGATGTGAGAAAACCTTGATCTATGCAGGAAATAGCCCGACTTGATTATGTAAAGAGTTGTCACTTTGGATGGGCTAGCACCAGCAGGAGAGTGAATTTGTGTGGGGGGGTGGAGGGTGAGAAAACCTGGATTTGTGCTGGAAATGGCCCACCTGTTGATCACTTTAGATAAGCTATTACCAGCAGGACAGTGGGGTGGGAGGAGGTATTGTTTCATGATTTCTGTGTGTATATAAAGTCTGCTGCAGTTTCCACGGTAAACATCTGATGAAGTGAGCTGTAGCTCACGAAAGCTCATGCTCAAATAAATTGGTTAGTCTCTAAGGTGCCACAAGTACTCCTTTTCTTTTTGCGAATACAGACTAACACGGCTGTTCCTCTGAAACCTGACATAAGAAGGCAGCTTTTGTTTTATCTGAACTTTCAGTGTAGAAACCAGGCAACACACTTCAAATTGGTGGGAAGGTACCCACAACGCCTCATCAAGGATCTACAGCTTGTCCTGAAGGACGACCCATCACTCTCACAGATCTTGGGAGACAGGCCAGTCCTTGCTTACAGACAGCCCCCCAACCTGAAGCAAATACTCACCAGCAACCACACACCACACAACAGAACCACTAACCCAGGAACCTATCCTTGCAACAAAGCCCGTTGCCGACTGTGCCCACATATCTATTCAGGGGACACCATCACAGGGCCTAATCACATCAGCCACACTATCAGAGGCTCGTTGACCGGCACATCCACCAATGTGATATATGCCATCATGTGCCAGCAATGCCACTCTGCCATGTACATTGGCCAAACTGGACAGTCTCTATGTAAAAGAATAAATGGATCACAAATCAGACGTCAAGAATTATAACATTCAAAAACCAGTCAGGATAACACTTCAATCTCTTTGGTCACTCAATTACAGACCTAAAAGTGGCAATTCTTCAACAAAAAAACTTCAAAAACAGACTCCAGCGAGAGACTGCTGAATTGGAATTAATTTGCAAACTGGATACAATTAACTTAGGCTTGAATAAAGACTGGGAGTGGATGGGTCATTACACAAAGTGAAACTATTTCCCCATGTTTATTCCCCCCGCCCCCACCCCCACTGTTCCTCAGACGTTCTTGTCAACTGCTGGAAATGGCCCACCTTGGTTATCACTACAAAAGG